TTCTTGGACGACATTGGCCAAAGCCCTAAGGGTGAGTTGTTCGTTGGCGAGATAGTCATCGGTGGCTGCAAGGCCGGGGCCTATTATGACACTTGCTCGACGCGAAATTTTATTAGTCACGCGTGCGTTGAGAGGTTGTGCTTACAGGGGCAAGTGCAACACCTAAGTCGACCTGTGGAGTCGACTTGTGCCAACAAACAACACATGGTAGTCACTGAGTACCTTAATCATTGAGTGTCTTTTCTTGTACGCGGGAGGGGAACTGAGACATCGAGTCTTGTTCCTAGTCAGCGATAATCTCCCAATGGATATCTTGTTGGGTATGTACTATCTTTCGGTTGCACAACCCCAGTTTGACTGGGACCAAAAAGTGGTAAAAAACTTTGCCCGACGGGGGGACCGCCAGATTACGTAAGTTTAAGGCTACCGTCTTCACTCGAATAGAACGCCCGGCCCTTACAACGGTATTTGTGGCGATTTCCAGTCCAGATGCAGCGATAATGACCAGGCGTTCTATTCGGGTGAAGACCGTAGTGGTCTGATCGAGTCCTACGGATGCATGTGTCCGACTCCGTTCTATAATTATTATAAGAAAAATTCAAAGGAGGGTATGTACCTAGTTTATGTCTCTGTCGTAGGCGAGCCGGTGAAAATGCCGCCAGAGATAGAGAGAGTGGTTGCTAAATACCCTGATCTATTTGAAAAAGCGAAAGGGGTTGTTGAGAGGGAGGTCGTCCACGCGATAGAGATTATCCCAAGGTCTAGTATTTCGAAGGGTAGGATCTATCGGATATCTCCAGCCGAACTTGATGAGCTTTGCAAGCAACTCAAGGAACTCATAGAGAAGGGTTGGATCCAGCCTAGCGTTTCCCCTTATGGATCTCCAGTCTTATTCGTACCGAAGAAGGGGGGGACCTTGAGGATGTGCATTGACTATAGGGGCCTCAATGCCATCACTGTCAAGAACGCCGAGCACCTACCGCACATCGATGACTTGTTGGACCGAGTGCAAGGGTGCCGATACTTCAGTAAGATAGATCTGAAGTCTGAGTACCCTCAGATTGAAATACAGCCCGAGGATCAACACAAAACCGCTTTCCAGACCAGGTATGGTCTATATGAGTTTGAGGTGATGCCTTTCGGCCTTTGCAATGCTCCTGGCACCTTTTAGCACGCCATGAACCGGATTTTTCATGACTACTTGGACAAGTTTGTTATCGTGTACCTCGATGACATACTTATCTTTAGTAGGACTGTTGAGGAGCACGTTGGTCACTTAGACAAAGTCCTTAGCCTCCTTCGACAACAGTAGTTCAAGATTAACGGGGAGAAATGCGAGTTTGGCCGCACCCGGATCTTGTATCTGGGTCATGAGATTCCCGCGGAGGAATTGAAGCCCGATGACGCGAGGGTGGCCAGCATTCGTGACTGGCCGCGTCCTCAGTCTGTGATTGAGATGAGGTCCTTCTTACGGATGACCGGCTACCACCGCAATTTTATCGAGAACTATAGCATAGTGGTCGCCCCTTTGATGGACCTGACCCGCCTTGACACCCCAGGGGAGTGGACAGACAGGTGTGCGGCTGCCTTCAGACATCTAAAGCATGCTCTGACACACCATAAGGTCTTGAAACTTCCTATCCTGACAAGCCATTTATAGTAACCACGGATGCTAGCCAATATGGCATAGGCGCCGTGCTCGCACAGCAGGAGGGGCCAAAGTTAAGGCCTGTCGAATACATGTCCAAAAAGATGCCCTCTCAGAAGTTGGCTAAGTCCACCTATGAGAAGGAGCTCTATGTGGTCTATAAAGCGCTAACCCACTGGAGGCACTACCTCCTTGGGAGGTTCTTCTACGTCAGGACTGATCATCAGACCCTGAAGTGGATGAGAACCCAGCCAGTGCTCTTTGATCGCGGATGCGTTGTCGTGTAGGCCAGACTTCCTCGGTGCGCTGATCACTGAGTTTGGGCTTGCGGATGATGTTACTCGTTCTTTGGTGGAAGCCTATCGCGAGGATCCGTTTATGGCTGAGATCATACTCAGACTCGAGGTGAAGGACAAAGTGACTTCTGCCGAGTTTGAGTTGGTCAACAGCCTGCTGTTCCTCGAGAAGGCCAGGAATAAACGCTTGTGTATCCCTAATTGGGAGTCTTTGCATAGTTTATTTTTAGGAGAGTGTCATGATGCCACATGACATTTTGGCTATAAAAAAATTGCAGCCAACTTGCTGCATTAGTTCTGGTGGCCTACAATGATGAGAGACGCCAAGCTGTCCGTGGAGACTTGCCAGGTATGCCAGAGAGACAAGCCACGTACGCAGGCCCCTGTTGGGCTTCTCAAGCCCCTTCCGACACCGGAAAGGCCCGGTGAGACCCTTTCCATGGACTTCATGGACACACTGGTCACCAGCAAGAGTGGAATGCAATATGTCTATGTCATTGTGGATTGGTTTAGCAAGTATGCTAGGTTAGTCGCAATGCCTGCAACAGCCAAGACCGAGTACGTGATTAAGTTGTTCAAAGAAAACTGGGTCAGGGACTTCGGTTTGCCAAAGTCCATCATTAGTGACTGGGATGTGCGATTCACCAGTGAACTGTGGAAGGCGCAGCTGCAGAAGAGGGGGCATAGCTGCAAATGACCTCCGGCAACCACCCAGAGGCAAACGGGCAAGCAGAGCAGCTGAACCGCGCTGTTCAACACCTGCTGAGGCATTACATCAAGCCCAATCAGGTGGACTGGGATGAGAAACTTGCTCTCATCGCCAGTCTGTATAACAACGCCGTGCACAGCGCAACAGGGGCGAGCCCCAACAGCCGGCTACTGACTTTCAAACCTAGACTTCCCTTGGATTTTCTACTACCTGAGAATCAGCCTTCTGGTGCACCAGGCACCTTAGAATTCGCTTCGATATGAGTGCCTGATGCAACAAGCTGTAGAACAGATGCACAGGGTGCAGGCGGCAATGATAGAGTCTGAGAACAAGCACCGCCACCCATCTACATTCCAGGTAGGGGACAGAGTCTGGGTCAAGTCCTCAGAACTGGGACAAGAGCACAGGATATCCCGCAAGCTCATGCCACAGTACTTTGGACCCTGGGAGGTTCTAGATATCGTCAGGGATAATCCGGATGGGCTGTCATATGTCTGTCTCTTATACACATCTAGATGTGTATAAGAGACAGGTACTTTGGACCCTGGGAGGTTCTAGATATCGTCAGGGATAATCCGGATGGGCTGTCATATGTAGTTCAGATCCCTGGTCACCTTCACACTTACCCTGTCTTTCACGCCTCCAAGCTTGCACCATCCGAGGAAACTGATCAGTTTCCCTCGCGACACTCAATGCTGCCCCCAACCATGGATGGAGAGGTCGACATCGACGACATCGTGGGCCATAGGGAAATGCCAGTTCCAAGGCCGACAGGCAGAGGACGTCCTCCAAAGCCGAAGCTGCAATATCGTGTTCGGTTCAGACATCACATTGATCCTGAAGGAGGACAGATGGTTCACCCGGGAGGAACTGATGCAGACCGCTCCACAGACTGTTGCTCACTACGAGAAGTTACTTGAGAAGGGAAAGCGCCAGATTGAGTAACCGAACTTGTCAGAGGACTATCGAAGTATGGAGGAGGGAATGCGAGGCACAAGTCCCCGAAGAGCCCCTTCTTATCCTGTAAGCAACACTGTCGGCCGCCCTAAGTGAAGGCAGGCCCGACCAAGGCCAGGAGGCCTATTTTGGGTCACCACGCAACTGGGGAAATTCAGGCAGTTGCGCAGCGCCAGTTGGCTAAGAGCGCCCAGGCCCTTGCTGCCTTTATCAAATGCATCTGAGGCAGGCCCTGGCCGAGAGACGCAACACGGACCTAACACAGGCTGCAGGCAGTTGGGCAGGGGTAACTGCCATAGGCCCTGGGCCTGATTCAGTTGGACTGGGGCTCAGCCACTCGGGGCCTACCGGAAGCTTCTGGGCCTTGGCCCAGTGCAGCCAGGTTGCACGCAGCAGGCAGGCCACTTCCATTTAGGAATGTGCCTGCCCACACATTCGGCATTCGGGCACTGGCTGCATGCTGCGCAAGCGCTGCTGTGCTAAACGCTGGCCAGCGCCCACGCGCTCACGGGGGAGCAGGATGAGCAGGCAGCCATAGCCAAGCTGTGCTGCATATGCTGGACGGGGCGCATGGTGGTCCTTGGGTGCACGTGGCATCTGTGAGTGGGGGGATCGAGGTTGTGAGTGATGCGAGAGATCTACCTGGTGCTTGAGGCGAACGGCATTGGCCGAGATCTGCTCGTACTTCGGGGAGCTGTTGACGTCACCAGCGGCATTGTAGATAGGCTAGATAGGATCTGCCATTTGTAGTCTGGGCGCCGAGCGCCAGATAGGATATCGACATTGGTTCTTTGTTGATGATGATGAGACTATTCCAACATTGTCAATTGTGAGCTTTTGCTGTGCTCTTATTTGGTGGAACTCGTGATGCAATTCTGCTTTTGGTTCAAGGTCATGACTATCTGGTCTCATGTGTATGATGCTGCTTGGTTTCTGGAATTTGCTTTCGCTCATTTTCCTTGCAACTGTCATTCCAGAATGTAAATGTGGGATTTGTGGGATTGGCTTATTGCTCTCTGTACCAATGGCACCTCAATTGGCAAATGATTTTGACCCTCTAGTGGTCATGCCTAACAGTGATGTCTTTCTTCTTGTCCATGGAGGGAGATGTGCTCGGCTTGCATGCAAAGTGAATGAAGTGTCATTACTACTTTTATGATTCATCGCACAATTGTGTTGTTTGCTCACAGGTTCTTTGTGGTGGAATGATGCGTGTTCCGTTTTCTGTATCTGGGAGCTCTCTGCTCCAGATGTTTCTGCAAAGAACTTGTAGGTCTTTTGCAGGATTTACTTGGGTAACAGATTGAAGATGCAACAATTTGAAGCCTGGAGGCATTCTAGTTATTCATACAAAGTGGTTTGCCATGGTGAACACTTCTTCTGTCCACAGGATCGAATAATTGCTCGCTTGCAGCAACCCTTCTCAGCAGATAGCCTGCCAGTGGAGACCGCATACCAGGCAAGGATCATCAGTCACCCAATTTGAACTCATTTAAGGACAACCCTATACAGCCAGAAGAGATAAATCTGGCACTCATATCTAGCATCGCTTTTACTTTTGCTTTTTGCTTTTCTTTCTCCCAAACTGCAACCTTATATCTTCAGCTCCTGTTTGGTTTGTCTTCCGCCAGGAAGTCAGAAACTGAATATAGTATAGGCATTCAGCCAGTGTTACGTACCCCGATAGTCGACGTCCCTTGACTGGTCGGCTGCCAACCAGCAGACCGGTCAGCTGGTCGGGATCCCGCAAAAAAAATAAATAATAATAATAATAAAAAAAATTATGCAAGTACATAACCCCCAATAACCCCACCCACACCCTCATACCCACCCCCATACCCACCCCCGTACACCCCCCCAACACACCCAAACCGTCCCCCAACAGCCTCATACCTGTCTCTTATACACATCTAGATGTGTATAA